TAACTGTGGGGAGAAGCTGTGTGGGGGAAACGGGGAGGGGAGAGGTCTGTGGGCTCATCACCCCTAAAACATGATCCAGGACGCTGTATCCGATAGGCTTCGTTTATAGTCACTGCAATTCAGTGAGCACCTACTGTGTCCCAGCACTTATATTATTTTTATTCCTTACAACAGCCTCAGGAGGTACAACTTGCTAACTCCATTTTACAGATCAGGAAAACTGAGGCCTGCAAGGTTCAGGCTTGCCTGCGGTCAGCCAGCCAGTACAAGCCTAAGCTTTCACCATACTTCTCTGCTTCCCCGTAGCCTTGCTGAAATCACCAGGCTCTCTTCATGTACAGCAGCCACGGTGGCAGGCGGCAGAGCAGGTGGTTTTGGGTGGTTATTCACAAAAAGGCAAACCAACCTCTGCAGAAGGAGGAGGCTGAGCCCGTTACATTTAACAAGGGATGGCAATTGGCTGGGCCCAGTGTGCCTCTTAAACAGGTAGGCACCACAGGGCAGGCAGCATTGGCCGGTCCCTGGCCAGACCGGCGGCTGCAGACGGTTTAAACATTAAACTAGGGGTGGCCTTCTTTAAAAGCAGACGGTTTTATAAGGCTCACGGTGCCGTCTAGACGAGGGGACATTTATGAAAGTTGCTGTGCTGCATGTTGGGCTCAGACACCTGACTTCCTGGCTCTAGTCATTTCGAAGGCGGAGTGAAATCTGACTCGTGCAAGAACAAATTGGATTTTTTTTTCTTTGTGGAGGGTGTATGGTTTCAGACATTTGGTAATCTCTTCCTGCTGGCCCCTTTACTTATCAGTCTTTCTTTGTAGATGTGAGGATGGAGGAAAACTGGAAAGGGGCTTTTTTCTATAATGCTGGCCTTTCTGTGCATGTCTTCGGTAGCTTTTGGTCCTGAGAGAAATTATGTAATTATCTGTGCAATGTTTCCGTCTTGTCCCTTCCCCCCTCCCCTCCACCGTGAGGGCCAGAGCAGAGTCGCATTGGCTGCCTCTCGCGTTGTCTCAGCACTGTGCTTGGTACCTGGTTGGCGCTCAGAGGAATAAGTGAATAAACAAATCCAGGAAAGCTGAGCTGGATAGTGTGAGTCAGCTTTTTTATTCTAAGGAGGAAGAGTTTATTCCCTTGTTCACCTGGGTGGACAACCACAAGAAGGAGATGGGGAAGCTGGTCCTAGGTTCAAGTTGTCCATTTCCTGTTTGGCCTCAGACTCGGGTGCCATGATGATCTTGAGGGCCCCGGCCCCTCTGAACTTCCTGACATTTCAGATGAGGGAACACTTTAAAGACCCAGGAGAGAGAGGTTCCAGCCTTTTGTGTCCTTTGGGAACACATGTGATTTCCATTCCCAAGGCCTTCACTCCTGGCCCCATGAGGAATCAGGTGGAATTCAAGTTTTCTCGGTGGGTGAAAGGAAGAAAAGCCCTATTTCTGGGACACTCTTCTCTGGGGGTAAACATGGTTGACATTATTAAACACCTACCCCGCCTGGACCTGGCACATTCTAAGCACCCGATGTGTAATCTTCACAGGGAGGATCCCATGAAGCTGGTACTGTTATTTCTGTACTTTACAGATGAGGAAACTAAAGCACAGAGAGGTTATGTAACCTCCCCAAGGTCACACAGCCAGTGAGGGATTTTAGGTAGGACTCAAAGCCATGTCACTAGCCATTATGCAATACTGCTTCACTGTGCACCTGGCTCGGTTTCTCCTTCAACTTTATGAAGCAGGCACTATATTCCATTGCAGAAGTTTCATTTACTAATATAGATCTCCTCCTCCTCCTTTAAAAATAACTGTTTGAAAATGTGACAGTCATTCTTAGCTCTCGGGGTCCTGACCGAAATAGGCCTTGAGCTGAATTTGGCCCACAGGCTGAATGAATATGCAGCAAACAATGAAGCAAGATAATTTCAGATAATGTGAAATGCCCCCAAAGAGATAACATGGGGAAAGGTGTAGAGGAGGTGTCCAGGTGGCCTTATCAACCAGTGAGGTGAGAGGGGGTCCTCCCTAGGTGGGTTGTGTGAAGCTGAAGCTGGAGTGATGAGAAGGATGCGATGATCTGAGGGGTATGAAGCGCTTAGCACAGTGCCTGTGCCATATATGAATGCCTACTATCGTTATCGTTTTTGTGGTTTGCCATTAACTGTGACCTTGGGTAGTCATCTCATTGCTCTTGGGAGCTGAACTGAAAGCCTTCCCTCTGGCCCTGGCAGTTGCACAGTTCTGAGTGACTTCTAGCATCTGTCTCCTCCTGACTTCCACCATCCCTTTGAAATAGGGGATAGAATGACCCCTCTTTTACATTTTGAACAGAAGATTCATTGTGGGAAGAGGGAAGCTTTTGTGGAGGGACAGCCACCATGCTTATTGACATTGTGGAACGAACCCTTTGCGTGACCTCAATGCCGAGTGGGGTTTTATTAGCATGTGGGCACTCCCCTTTCACACTGGGCTGGAAGCACACCCTGGCAAATTCGCTGCTGGACCCTCGTGGGACCCTCGCGGCCTCTTGTGGCCTCTGGCTCCTGTTTGGGGGGGGGGGAATTGACAAGTGGGCTTATTTTCTTACCCCCAGAATGTCACTACCCTCCCCTGACCCTGGATGCTGAAAGAATGTATTCCTATTGTCATTGGACAATAGGGCCTCCTCAAGGGCAAGTTCAGCCTGCTGCATGATCAAAGGGGTGGTTTCTCCCCTCCTCCCATCTTAGTTCATGGAGGAATGTAGCAGTGGGTCCAACAGCCACCCACATCCTCCAGGCCTGTGTGTGCTCACTGTCTCCTTCCTCTAAGAACCAGCTCTCAGGATCGCCGGCCCTGCTCAGATGAAATAAAGCCTTCCAGTCATATCCTTATATTTGACGTAAGCACACGGAGGCTTTTCTTGCTGCATACTGAGTGGGGCTGTCCTGAAGACCCGGGGCAGCTTTGAGCCTGGCACCCTGATGAAAAGGGGCCTTGTAGCCGGAAGCTTAATCTTGTCTATGCAGCCGCCTTTTATCCAGCAGGGTGTCTCGTGTTCCCTATCTGCTTCCTTCATTCCTCGATTGCCCCTGTAGGTAGGATGTCCAAGAAATCCCAAGTCATCTTCCCGTCGTGCCTGTCTTGGTGGTGTTTTTTGGCAGTGTTACTGAATTTACCAGGTGACCGAAAAATACACAGAAGTACTTAGAGATAAACAGGAAAAACCCATTCATTTTCAGATGTTTTGCATGTACTAGTACAGTGTCTTAGGGGGACTGTTTCTCTCCAAATCCTGAGCAAACAAATATGGAGGAAGCTCTCCCTTGACACCCTTCTGTTTCTTTGACCCCCAAATATGGATGGGACTTCCGGACCTTTCTCTGTTGGAATTGGGGCCTTGAGACAACACCTAAAGGCCTGGCCTGGCGCCAGCACTGATAACTCCATCTGGGGGTTGTGTATTGTTCATGGTTTATGGCCTCTGTAAAATGGGAGTACTTAGGTAAACAGGTCTTGCAAGACCAGATTGTGGAGAAAGGGGCAGTGACTTAATTATAGGATATCAAGAATGTACATTAGGTTACTGGCACAGATTCAGATTGCTGGCTGCCCCCAAATGTCTTATTTTCCCCATCAGCAGGGGTCTCCCTTCTTTTTTGCTCCAATTCCACTATCACTTCTCTTGTCTGAGCACTCATCACCTAATAGCATCAACCCTTGCCTTCCCTTCTCCTCCCTCCCTCCTTCTCTCTCCTTCCCATTCTGTCTGTCTGCCTGCCTGCCCACACTAAGTGTTTTCTCAGGCCAGCCACGTGGCAGACATGGTGTTAAGCACCGAGATAAAGCAGTGAGTAAAATCTCCACTAGCGGAGAGCCAATTAATGACACAAATACTGATTTAACTACAACGGGGGAAGGTTCTGCAAAAGAGAAGTACAGAGAGCTGCTAGTCCATTGAACCGGTTTTGGGAAGATCAGTAAATAGCAAAAACAATAATAAAAATAGCTTCCCAGTTCTTGTCGAGTTACTAGGAAACTGTGGGACAGGTACGTTAAGGCACAGAGGCACCAGGATGAGGTGACTCAGCAGGCTTTCAGAACCCGCAGCAAATTGGTTGGCAAGCTTCTTCGTTACCATGGATACCTCCCCCACCTAAGGAGCTTGTGTCCCCCTGAGAGCCAAGGAAAACTAAATTACCAACCAACTTGTTCATGAGCAAAGATGAATCCATTGGCAAACATGTTTTTCCTTATTAGATTCTCATGTCATTTAATGCCTTTTTATTGATGAATTTATTTTGAGTAACTGCTCTGCATCTTGGCCCTGGCACTTCTCAACGGTTTGGATTTGCAAGCGACATTGGTACAGAACGTTGGGAATCCACTGGGGCTGGGCAGGGAGTCTAGCTGTCGCTCCCTTGGTTTTATGCTGATTTTCCCCCAGGCCTAGTCTTTTGGTTACATGATGTGCTATTGACGGTGCCTTGGGCAAGAGGAAGGATGGAGGAAGGATTTGGCTTCTCAGCAAGTGCATAAACAAAGCACAACCTGGAGTCTTAAAACCCAAGGTTGGAGCAGAAGTGGCCTCCAGATAGGACATGCAGTAAAGCTTTTTGTAGCCAGAGCCGAGGCAGTTGCCAGAGGAGCTGAGTGATACTAATTTCACGGATCCACGTTTAATCATCGATGCCCTGTAAACCGCGCTCTCCGTTTTCCTCTTTTCAAAGGATCACCATTCCTAGGGTAAATGAATCTGGCCACGTGAAGCTGCCTCTGCTTTATGAGAAAAAAAAATGACCATCCCAAACCCGAGGCTGTTAAAACCTGATGTTTTCTGTTGTCCAGAGAAGGGTGTTTCTGCTATAAATGAAAGACATGACAGGGGGTATTCGAAGCTTTGTTTTGTTATTGTCAATTCTGCCAACAAGTAACATCTGTATTTATTTTCCAAACTCCCCCAAATGGCTGATTTGCATCTGTTTAGTTCTCTGAGTAACATTTCATTTCCTGACTTTACAGGTTGCTATAAAATCCATTCGTAAGGACAAAATTAAGGATGAACAAGACATGGTTCACATCAGACGAGAGATTGAGATTATGTCATCCCTCAACCATCCTCATATCATCAGTATTTATGAAGGTCAGTGATTTTTTTTTTCATCCCCCTATCAGTTACCATTCCTCATACCATGGGGCCTGCCAAGATTTTTAGGTAATTGCCCTTCTGGGCAGGAGCCAAGTATTTTTCCTCAGGATGCAAAAATAGCCGGGTGTTATCTCTTATTTAGTTACCTTGAATGCAACCAGACACACGTAGCACAGCTCACTTTTGGTTATAAAATACCTCTGGCGGGTGCCTTCTTCCGGCTTCCCAGTGCCTTTGGTGGTTGCTAAGCAACCCACCCTATTGAACACTGGTATGTGAGACAGCCTTGGTTTCTGAAAAATGGAAGTTTGTTGGGTGACCAAGTAAAGGTGGATAAATTGTCAACGTCATTCCCCAAAACTGATGCTCGGGGCGGGGTGTCATGAGTTACTCCAAGTTAGGCTCTTTGAGTTAGGAAGTACCTTTGAGAAGATCCAATTAATGTTGAGAAAGAAGAGGGATCTGCTGGTGCAAATGGAGTCCAAGTTGTAGCTGGTGTTTCCAGAAAGGCAGGGTGGGGCAAAGCTTATAAAACTGCTCTTGCTTCAACCTCCTTGCTCCCTCGTGGGAAGAAACAGAGTATAAATTTCCCAAATCTTCATTCTTAAAATGTCCTGGAAAAATATTACACAAGCAATATGTGTTAATTGCAGAAATGATCAAAATATTAATGTTAAAATTAAAAAATACTTTCTGTTCTAACTCCCAGTTTGATAAAAATCTCGCTATCCATGTTATATTTTTATCTACTTCTCTATATCTGTATGTGTCTTCACCCAAAGTGAGATCATACAGCTTATACTGTTTGTTAGCTTGATTGTTTTTCAGTTTTTATGTTATGCATCTCTTCCTATGTCAGTAAATATTCCCGCCCTAACTGGTTTGGCTCAGTGGATAGAGCATCAACCTGCGGACTAAAGGGTCCCATGTTCGATTCCAGTCAAGGGCATGTACCTTGGTTGCAGGCATATCCCCAGTGGAGGGTGTGCAGGAGGCAGCTGATTGATGTTTCTCTCTCATCGATGTTTCTAACTCTCTATCCCTCTCCCTTCCTCTCTGTAAAAAAATCAATAAAATATATTTTAAAAATTCCCTACAAAGACATTTTAAAATGCTTTATAGTATTCCATTTATGGAAATGCCATCGTTTATTCAATCGTTGGCTTGTAGGTGACCGTCTTCTCCCTGTGTTGTCACATCATCTTCCCTCTGTGTGTCGGTGTCTAAATTTCCCCTTTTTATAAGGACACCAGTCACATTGGATTAACATCCACCCTAATGACCTCATTTAACCTCAGTTATTTCTTTAAAGACCCCATATCCATATAGGGCAGTGATGGCGAACCTTTTGAGCTCGGCGTGTCAGCATTTTGAAAAACCCTAACTTAACTCTGGTGCCGTGTCACATAATAGAAATTTTTTGATATTTGCAACGATAGTAAAACAAAGACCTATATTTTTGATATTTATGTTACATATTTAAATGCCATTTAACAAAGAAAAATCAACCAAAAAAATGAGTTCGTGACACGCGTGTCATAGGTTCGCCATCACAGATATAGGGTGACATTCTGAGGCATTGGGAGTTAGGACTGCACTATGTACATTTCAGAGGGCGCAGATTTAGCCCATAACACTGGAGTCATGGTTAGTTGGTGGTCCTAGCACAGGAGCCTTCTGACCCCATTTGGTTTTTCCCCTCTGCCAGACCTCAGCCCTGTGTTTTTGACCTTATGTCTTGTTTTGCTGGCTCTGCGGCTGAACTCTCTGCCTCAGGCATCCCCCCCAACCTGGCCTTTGCTGTCCTTTTTCAACGCTGGGACATGGCAGGGACAATGGGTGGTAGCAATGGTGGTGGGACCCGAGTCTGTGAGTTGATGGGCTGGTCTCTCAGCCTTTCACAGAGAGAAAGGAAACCTCTCTGGAAGCTGATTGGTTGACAGGGCTGTCAAGAGCCTTAGCTGAGTGCAGAGATGCATTAATTTGCATAATTAAAAAGCAATGCCAAGGCATCTAAGTGGCTGTTTGGACAACAGTCAAGTGAATAGAAGCTGTTAAGGAATTTTGGAATTTCTTTTTCAACAAGGACCTTTATGCTTAAACACACACACACACTCACACTCATACACACACACACACACACACTCACACTCATACACATACACACACTCATAGCGTCAGTAGCAATAACAATAGCAACATGACAAAGCAATGGTATAGCTCCCTTTATGTTTAGGAACTTGGGGATTTCATGAGGGGAAGTCACCATCTTGGCTGTATTATCTGGTGATATTGAAATACTAGTTCCAGAGAAAAAGTAATTCATTCATAAGAAATATCAAGTAAGTGCTTAATATGTACCAGGCTCTGTTCTAGTGAACAAGATAAGGTCTGGCCCCATAGAGCTGACATTCAGTGAGTAGGCAAGTGAATAGATTAAGTGGCTTTTAAACTGAGACCTGAATGAGCAGGGAGTAAGTCTTTGGAAGAGCTTGGCATTCCAGGCAAAGGGAGCAGCATGTGTGGATGCTCAGAGGAGGGCAGGAGCTTGTGTTGGTAGAAGTGATAGAGGGCCTGTGAGGCTGTGAGGCTGAGATGGTGAGTGAGTACGATGGTGGCAGGAGAGAGGAGGTTGGAGAGGGCCAGATCTTGGTCACATTGGCAAAAGGAGGGAGTGTGGATTTTACACCAGGAATGAGGGCAAGCCATTGAGTTTGATGAGGGAAATAACATTTTTCAATTTGTACTTTAAAATAATACTAATAAAACTAGGAGTTTTTAAGTGTTTACCCTGCCCTAGAACATGTATTATTGAGTTTAATCCTTCTACCCATGACATATGAACTGTTAACATCTCTATCTTCATGGTGAGGAAAATGTAGTTTTTCCCAAGCTTACATCACCTAATAGATGGTGGGTCTGAAAGTCCAACCCAATCTCAGGGACATTCCGAAGCTGGTGCTCATAAAACTAACCAGGTCATTTGGTGGTCTGCAGCGACCCCCATTGGGGACCTTGTCCTAGACCCTGTGATGAGGGGAATTTCTGGCCCTCATAGAGATGGCTGTCTTAAATACGAGAGAGCATTAAATCCCAGCGTTGCGAGTATTTTAGAAGATATTTCTGCACAGCAGTCCATGGAAATGTAAGTTATTTATATATTATTCATAATACCCGCAGGCTCATAAAATCTGCGACCTCTCTGAATCAGCACTGCTGTTGACCAAATCTCAAAAATAATCCCTGCAAATGTTTCTCTCTCAAACCAGCCCCTGGGGTTGCTCCCCTGTGGACCCACGGGGGAAGGTGATTAAGCCACAAATCTGTCAACTGCCAACAGGAACCATGACTGGCTTCTGATGCCCAGTCCAATGAAAGGATGGAAATACACCTGCCAGTGTGGGATAGGAAAGGTAACATAATCGAGAGAGAAAAGGAAGAAATCTCTGGCACCATCGCTCTCTGGACCCCTGTTTCCAGTCAGAGGAATTCCATTCTCTCAGTAGGGAGGTAATTGACAAAATGGAAAGAGCAGCTGAAAAGGAAGTGCCCGCCAGAGCTTTCAACTTGGTTGCCTAGGATGGGAGAGATAAAAACAGTTTTTGCCTGAGGTTCTGATTTCAGGATCTGAGTTCAAACATCAAAGGCCCAGGGTCTCTCCCCCCATTCCCCCCACTCCACCCCCTGTTTCCCCTTTGAAAGCCTAGGAGACCCAGTCTGCACAACCAAGAGAAAGAACATCTTGTACTTTAGGGAACCTTAGCGCCCCATCTGGTAACAGTCCCTGTGGGTAAAGAGGAAAAGGCGAGGGAGTGGGGGCGATTGGGCCTTGCCTTCCCTTTTATGCCCTGGATTTTTTTTGTTCCTGGAAATCTCTCTTCCTGGCCCTCCACGTTTGGACTCTTTTTTGGCCCCTGGCGTGGTGATCTGCTTTCGTCACGGCTCCTATATTAGGAAGGGTGATCCTGGCTTTCTGGGACGAAGGAGGAGGCCCATGTGGCATTGGTCAGCTGTAATCTGTCGCCTTTGGAAGAGTTTCTCAACCGTAAAATAACAAAACAAAATAGTCAAACAAGCATGCCGTCTTTGATAAGCACGTGAGTCTCACGTCCTTGCCCTCTGAACCTCACACCTGCTGTCTGCAAGAAGATGGCAAAAGAGTCTGGGTTGTAGAAAATTCTCCAAATTCTTACCACGAAGACACTTTGGATGAGTTTACTATCAGTTGTTCGTGCCTCTCATCTTCTTCCTAGAAGTACACATTACAATACCCTTCTTCGAGTTACCTGTGCCTCCTGAGGTTCTGCTAGGTTTTTCTGGAAGGGGATATTGTTTTTGGCCTTTGGTGAAAATCACTGCTCAGAGCATCCAGCCAGAGATGAAGAGGAGAAAACCAGAGATAGGATCTGTGGACAAGCCCACAGCTTTTGGCCTGTGCTGTTTACTGCAGGCTTGTAGAAGGGCATTCCGCCTCCCGCCTCCTCCTTCCCCTACTCTTGTGGCCAGGGGCAGTGGCGCTGATGTTTCACAGGACCCAGCAGAGGTCCTGGAGTCAGAAACTGCTGTTCTCAGAGGGTGGTCCAGGAGCAGCTGCGTTAGCATCACCTGGTCCCACCCAACTATACTGAATCCAAAACCCTAGGGGTGGGGCCCAGTGTTCCCACGCACTCCTAAGTGTGAGAAGCACTCGCTGTATTGGAGAAACCCCTGCTCAGGAGGTCAGAAACCAAAGCAGGGCTGTATTGCTAGCGTCAGGTATTTGGAAATACCTACAGAGCAAGCCGTTTACATTTTTCCTCTTAGGCTCAAGTATTCATTCTAATTTAGGTTTCTCAGGCAGCAAGCAAATCCTGACTTAGGCCCTTTAAAAGGCAGGGGTCAGCTGAACTAATCTAACAAGGTCTGTTCTCATTCACTCATTCACCTATTTAGTCATTTATTCCTTCGGTCATTCATTTCTTTTTACAAAAATGTATTGAACAGTTACGTTCCAG